CATGCAGTGAGAAGCATTTCAACAGGCCCCCTTATTATGGCTTCCATATATAATAAGTCCTTCAAAAGGGTAGGGTTCTTTAGGCCCTAAATTAAACCCTAAACCTACACCCTAAACCCTAAACCTACACCCTAAACCCTGATATCTACACCCTATACCCCACCCTACACCCTAAACCCTAAACCCTAAACCCAAACCCGAAGGTGGAACCCGAAAATCCCAAGCCTGACCCGCTCTTTCCTGCGTAGGCTCGCTCCATGCTGTCCCAAACGCTGCGGAGGCTGGCTTTGTCCTTAGGGTTTAGGGTTTAGGGGTTGGGGTTTAGGGTTTAAGTTTAAGGTTTAGGGTTCAGTTTAGTTTTAGATACAGGTTGAGGGTACGTTCTGGGCTTTGGCTTTGGGTTCATTTAGGACAGATGGGTTCAGGGTTTAGGATTACCGTGTTTAAAGATTTTGGAAAGAGCGATGAAAATCTGGTTTGTGGCTGCTTGTTGGTTTTGGGTTCAGGATTCAGGGCTTAGGGGAAATGGGTTCAGGGTCTTTCTGGGTTCAGGGTCAAGGTTTATGGAATTCAGGCAAGGAGGGATTCTGGGACAATCATAGATCTCACCGACACAGTTGGAACCTCTTCTTCTTCTTCCTAAACCCTAAACCCTAAACCCTAAACCCTGTTACTCAAAAGCCATTGACAAACCTGCCTGGTCGGCAAGAACCCACTAGTCTGGACATGCCGGCAGCCCGTCTTTCGCCCGTTCTTCATTTGAGTAGTTCTCTGAATTAGGGGTCCCAGGTAGGGTCGTTTTGATGAGGGTGCCGTACTATGTTGGGGGACCCGAAAAGGGACCCTAATTTCAAGAACTACCCGTTCGAAAAATCGACAGGCTTGGCACGCGAGGGCCAACATTTCCGCAGAAACCCTCAAAGCAATCCCTGGTCTGGTGGAAACAGTCATAGCAATCTTGAAAGTTGCCCTAATCTTGGAGACTCCGAAACTGAACCCCAAACCCCAAGGTGAGACAAGGAGCCAAGGAACCCGGCAATAGCCACCCACAGACAGATTTTTATGAAGGGAGACGAGGGTACACAAAAGGAGACAACAAACCCCAAACCCCAAGCCCTAAGCCCCAAACCCCAAACCCTAAACCTTAAAGCCCCTAAACCCCAAAGCCGAACCCTAAACCCCTAAACCCCTGAACCCCCAAACCCAAAAACCCCTAGGCAACCGCCTCCACGGCGGGCTCGAAGGGCGCAGGAAACCAAACCCGGTCTCCCGGGTCCAAGGAGTGGAAGACGAAATGCTCGGAGGAGTTCCTGGCTGAAGAGACTTGGGGGTTTAGGGTTTAGGATTTAGGGCTTAGGGTATAGGGTTTAGGGTTCCGGGTAGTTTAGGATTTAGGGCTCAGGGTATAGGGTTCGGGGTTTAGGGCAGTTTAGGATTTAGGATTTAGGGGTTCCGGGTAGTTTAGGATTTAGGGCTCAGGGTATAGGGTTCGGGGTTTAGGGCAGTTTAGGATTTAGGATTTAGGGCTTAGGGTATAGGGTTTAGGGTTCCGGGTAGTTTAGGATGTAGGGCTCAGGGTATAGGGTTCGGGGTTTAGGGCAGTTTAGGATTTAGGGCTTAGGGTACAGGATTTAGGGCAGTTTAGGGTTATAGGGTTGAGGGTTTAGGGCTTCATGTAGCTTCGGGCCTAGGCTAAAAGGCCTGAAGCTTTCAGCTCAGGGCGTTTAGGGTTTAGGGTTTAGGGTTTAGGGTTTAGGGTTTAGGGTTTAGGGTTTAGGGTGGGGGTTCGGACTTCTGGGCTACTTGACAGCGCATACCGGCAAGAAGGATTCAATTGAGGATCAATTTCTCCATCTACCCAGG